TTGATATTCATTTTCCATGCTTAATCGAGGACACGTGATGATTGACAAATGAGCCACCAACGGCGACAGTGATGTAAGTCAATTTCGATCAGACTCACGTCGTGCACGCGCCGCTAAACAAATTAGATTAGTCGACCGTCGAGGTGATATCATCCTGATCAGACTGAAGAGGAATCATGTTACGAATTTTCAATTTCGAAATTTGTTAAAACTTTTTTTTATCGGAAATATAAACGTGAAACTATTTAATTCGTAGAATTATATTATTTATATTTTCAACGCTTAATTTACATAATACCATCGAACACTTCACTCTATCAATGTTGAAAATTAATATTGCATCGAAACGACCGCAATAATACACTTTGATTTCTGTAAATATTAAAATCGCTATCAGCAACTGCACACATCACAATTCTATAAACCAGCGATAAATCATCACACGTATAATTCACCTCTTAACGACGATCTAACCACATCAGTTACACAGCATAAAAGAGGAAAAAAAATCGATATTTATACACTGATTATTAATAACACTGCTAATTTTAATCGTTGATGATTCACGATTCGAGTAAAAGCGATGGGATTTCTCTGACGTTATCTAGGCGTGGAAAGAAGCGAAACTTTCTCCTCGCTATAGGTTAGTGTCAATCACAAGTTTAGAAGAACATTGAGAGAGGCGAGTATACCTACTGAGAGAACGTTGGGTCATCTAGGGATTTTTCATTGCCCGAGGCAGTTCGGGAGAAGTTTGAACGTTACGAATTCAACGAAAGCGTTACCACGTTATCTTTATTACGACGATTTTCTTTACGATGTTTTTATTGCTTATACTCTTAGTTACGTAACTTATTCTACATTATATATATATATTTGAAATTTTGAATAATCTAATTTTAAATTTCATATTTCAAATTTTAAATTTAAAATTTTACGAATATTTTTTTTTCCCATTTTTTCCTCCACTGCGTTTTAAAAGAACATGTTTTTTAGAACAGTCTATACTTACATTTTCGTTGCATATTCCTTATAAATAGTTTCATATAATTCATGCATAACCCACGGGATTCGTATATTCGTATAGATTCACGTAGCTCGGCAATATATCTCCTTCGTTTCGCAAGAATCTACGTATGTTTCATCCAATAGAATAGAAATTTTAACTTACGACTTTACTTTTCTGCAAAAAAAAAAAAAAAATAACCGAAAACTTTTCATTATCGTGCTCGTAGCTCATCATAATTTCAATCCGAGGAGCAATTTTCTTCGAATTTAACCTATTCCTCTGTAAGAGAAAAATGAAATGTTCTTTTCTTTTGTCCAAAACACATGATTGTATGAAAATAACCAAGTTTTCAAATCAAGTTTCCGATCAATATGAAGCAGAATGAGATGGGGTGCAACGAGAAAGTAATTCTGGTAGATTTAAAAAAAAAATAATTCGATTCACGGAGGCGTCTACTCTCGTCTACTCGAAACGGCGATGAAAGAGAAATCGAGTTTCGGAGAGAAATTCGATTCCGAATTAAGAATAAGGTAGGCATCGAGGTCCACTTGCATCCCTTTAACATGAAATTACGGTTGGAAAATTGCTCCACCGTGGCTCGACTCGATGACTGCTCAAACAACGTTTTCTGTTCCGATCTTTTTCTCCTAGTTTCCACTTTAACGCAGTTTGCCAACACGCCAGAACCGAAGAGAATTAAATCTTTTTCATCAGAGAATAATATTAATTAATAAAATTAATTTGTGGAACACAATTTCGTATCGATCTTCGAATGGAAGAAATAATTTTTCGAACGATCAGTTTCAAAACGTTTCAGACATTTTCTTTGTTTTCTTATTTAAACCAATTCTGACATTAAAATACGTATAATTCGAGCGTCGACGAAACAACATTTATATATATATATATTTTATATATTTATATTTTTTATATTTTTTTTATATTTATTTATATTTTATTTATTTATTTATATTTTATTTTTATATTTTTACATATTTTATATTATATATATATATATATATATATATATATATATATAAATCCATGTAATTCAACGGATAAAAATAGAAAAAATAGAAAATTCGAGTATCTGTTTTATTACACGTTTCTTTAGGAATATTTATTTATATTCCGGCTACGTTAATTTATACCGTTTTCCTCTAATTAGAATAACTTTGATTTCGCAATATCATTAGTGAAACCTTAGAAGATATTTTCCTCGAATAATTGTAATAACCTCAGCAGCACAATTCCATTAGGGAAATCAGAGAAAATTCGATCGTATGAACGTAATTTAGTGCGATGCGATTTTCGAGTAATTAGATCATTGATAATAATAATAATAATAATAAATAATATTATGATCGAATTATCGTAATAATCGATCGATTCGACTCCTTTGCTCTCTGTACAAATATATATATATATTCTGAATAAATTTAAAATGCGGGATAATTCAAAGAAATTACATCAACGATCGATACACGATCACACGCTTTTTTGGTACAGACGGACACGCAGACGGCTGCTAGCAGCGATATGGTTAATTATGTTACCCGTTAAAATGACGTTAGCGAGAGTAAAATAAACCCTTTAGTTAACAGGAAATATTAAAATTGGATTTCGCTAACCGGCTTTAAGCTCACTGAATGCACTTTTCTCAACATGCTGTTTACAAATTACGGATTACGAACGGGTATTCGATTTTACTTCGTTACTTCGTGATCGTAATATAGTTAAAAATTCAATGTGAAAGCACGTATGGATTTAAAAATTTTTATGGATTAAATTACTTGAAATTTTGCGAATATTTCGTGCAAAATTACGAAAGAAGGAAAAAAAGAATTTGCGTAGACGAGAAGTCATACTCAAAATTGAATCGAGGCAAATCATTGCTTTTGACAATTACTTCACCATCATATTATAAAAAATCGATTTAAAAAAAAAAAATCACTTTTCGTTTCGTGAAAGAGAAAGATTAAATTCTTCATCAACCTTAAAAAGAATGCTACATTATGTCTGATATTAATCGAGAAGGTAAATCTCTGCTTTTAATTACGATTACGAACGTGTTAACAACAATGGAACAATGTAACCGAACGAAAAGACAAACGCTCGTTTCTTAAGAAACTCTTGTCGAAGATGAACGCGCGATCTAGTTTGAGAAACAAGTTATAGAGGCAATACAAACTAAACGAAAGGTGTACCCGATTACTCCACGTTGACGGTGAACAGCACCGTCAGGGTGCTCTGATAAAAACTTGAATCCCCTTTTACAAATATTTGCTATTCCACGAAACGCGAATCTCTCGCGAGAAGTTTTCCAACTTCGCTTTAACGCGTTCCTTGTCGCGTGTGTCCATCGAACTCCTCTCCGTATAATAATTTGATCACTTAGATATTGAGAATTAATCCTTCTATCCTTGCATTTTCTTATTTATTGCTTTTCAATCCATACTTCATTGTATATAGAATACAGAAATATTAATTGTGATAAAAAAAAAAATATTTTAATAATATTCATCATTATCCGATAAATGTGATAAAATTTCACGAAAGAAAATTTAATCACACTTTTCGTGAATATTTCATTTAAAATAGTTTAATTTGAACGTCGAATTTCTATAAAAAAAAAAAATGTTTATATAACGATGTTTTTCGATAAACTGTATTGGATACAGTGTAACTTTGAAAAAAAAAACTCTTCAAACTTTTTCGGGAACTTCAGATGTCCCGGGACGTCATTTAAACTCCAACCAAATCCGCAATTAATCGGGAACTCGACCAACAACTTGTCCGTAGGAACCATTTAGAATGGTCAACTACGCCAATTCTTAATCTTCCGGATAGCCATCGCCAATTCCTAACCTATTCTACTCTTGACATCGATCTCAGTCACAAACTCGGTCGACGATTAATTATAAACAATATCTAAATGGTCTAATCTCGTTGGAACTTAACCTTCTATGAAGGTACCGATGATATCGATATTGCATATCGTTAATTTTATTTAAACTTTGAGAATTACATTAATTGATAGATAGATCGAACACAATTCTTAATGTCGCGTTATAAAATACGTATTTACGCTTAAGATACGTATTTATTTATAAAACTTGAATTTTCGTAACGTGTTTTAATATTTAGAAGTATAAAAAATTATCCTAATTAAATTTAACCTCACTCGCAGTTTTCTTAAATATAACACTTTACTTTGAATTCTTTATTCAATAAATTATTATTACATCGATCGTTTTTTTAAACGATGAACACTCTTCATTCATTAATGTCTTTAATATCTAATGATGATCAAAAATGTTACTCGAGTAACCGAATGGATCCAGTCCATTTGGATTAGGTTCAAGGAAAAAACGCGGCGAACCAATTGAATGAACGTCCAGTGACTGACCGAGACCAAACTGAGTGAATGAACAGAGAAGGTTAAAGAGTGGGAGACATGATTCCTCCTTTCACGTTTGAAAATCAAATTGAAGAAAATATCAAAAATTAAGAAAAAAAAGATTATATATAAATTAACAATCCATGAATTAATAAAAGAATATTAAAAGTTTAAGTTCTTGAATTCGTGCTTGGAAAATTATGTTTAAAATAAAACGAAGTGAAAAATAAAAATGTAAAATTCATTTCGAAAGAAATTCAATAAATTACTCTGTTGCGTTCCTTTACAAAAACCTTTACAAATTCCTTAACGGAAAAATCAAATCGTTTCGAAGAAACAAAAGCCACAACCTATAGATATTTCTTATGAAAAAAAAAAATAAATAAATTAACCAATTCCATTCAGACAGTATTTCTTCATTCTCCGTAACCATCCCTCTTTAATTACTGCCATTTTTTCACCATGACATGGCAAAATTTCTATGAAATGTATTCAATCATTCGAATATCAAAGTTATTTCAACTATTACGAATATAACAATGATAATAAATAATCAGGACGTAGGAAGAAGATAAACGAGAAATTTCGTACCGTGTACATTCACTGGTGTTCCATTCGATAACCGACTCGTACGTAAACTCAAGAATTCAAATCAATCCGATACGATCGAGAGCTCGAACGCGACTGAACCGGCCAACTTCTTGCATTTCCCGATCCCTTCCCTCTACTGCGTCGCGCGACGATACTAGGCGCCATGGCGAGGGGTGGGGGAAACCGTCCAACCGTGCAAGCCTCGTCACCCGGAAACGACGGACAAAGAAGAAACGAGGAGGAAACGAAGGAAATAATGGTCTCCTTTTATGCGCGTCTTTAAACAATCGGTGATAGCGATTTGATCGCAACAAACGACAAGATGGTTTTGATAGAAATGTTCGTTTCCCTTCTATCGATGAATCTTGTTCTCCTTGAATATTTATTTATTTGAATTTGATTTGAATTTCGTTGAGGGAAACCTAAGATGAATTAGAACGCTTAGAGTTATCTGCTTAAAATCTGATCTCGTTGGATCATTCGGGGTTATAATATCATATATATATAGGGTTATTTAAACTATTATATAGAATATCAAGTAAATTATTTATTGATTTACGTCGATATTTTTTTTTTCTTTTACGCAGCAAATTATTTCTCTTTATGCTATTATATTTATGCTTATTTTTTATACTTATAAATTTTGAATTTATTACATCGGTAGAGATGACACAAATTTATATTTTAACGATTGACAATATTTTCTTAAAAATCTGTATTTGCATTAATTTCATTTTCCACGTCGTTTAAATAAATATTCCTGGACAATGTAATGTGTTCTATAAACAGAAACCTTGTTTTTCTAGAATTTCATTTTATGTCACGTATTTCACGATATATCCTTTTTACTTTTGCATGTTTATTTTTAAATGAAATTCAAATACGAATGATCTCTACATATTACAATTACAAAATTTAAATATTTGAAATCAATAATATTTTTTATTTCTAAAAAATTTCCGAAAAGATTAATGCCAATGTTTCGCATAATTCGTCGAGAGAAAAAAATCATTTGTTTCGAAAGAAAAAGGAAAAAAAATCACGATTATTGGAATATTTTCCAACACTTCGTCCTTCGAAGTTTCAAAGTCGTTTTTTTAAACGAAGCTACTTATTTTTGGAAAAGTGACGACAAGATGTTAATCATTTATAGCAATGACCTTCAAACGACATCTGATATAAACATTTATTTTAAATCATCTTAACATCCTTCGTAAACGATACATCATTTTTTTATAAATTTTACGTAGCTTCAAATCACCACAAAAATTACTCTAAATATTTTTCTTCCAAACGAGAATCTTTTCTTTCGAATTGATAATTAATCTCCCCTTAAATTATAAAAAAACAAATTGATCCTCCAATTTAACCAAAAAAGAAAATATAATAATCGAATAAAATAATCGTGAAAACAAGATATATATAAGAATGAAATTCTATTCACTTGGAATGCAACAAATAGATTAATTGACCAATCAAAAATACTTAAAGGCCAGTTTATAAGTAAACATACATAAAAAATAAAAATAACAATCCTAGAAGTAACCAGTAACTGTAAGAGCTCACTTGGAGGTCACGACTCACATGATGCGGAAATACTGACAAATATGGATCCTAAGTGCTTACATCCTATAGACACCGTGTGGGCGTGAACTTGATAAGATAAAATCGAGGGATTAGGTAAGGATTGAATCTAAACAAAATCTGGGTCGCGTTTGGATCAAGTTATAAAATGAGGTCTGGGTTAGATCTGGGTTAGCATGGATGTGCGAGTTCGATAAGGGTGCGACGTGTGTGCTTATGTAAGGGTTTGTCTCGATTAGACGCGGGAGTGAAAGGGCGCGGAAGATATTGCGATATTGCGGGGTGAAAGAATCCGGGGAAGGGTGACAAGGAAGGAGGAGGAAGAGGAGGAGGAGGACGATGATGCAATGATGCACGCCCCTTTTTATTCCACGTCCTTTTCAATTCTCACCAACGAGAAGGATTCCTCTTTGGGGAGGAAATTTTCATTGCAGAGGTGCAATCGGCAGTGGGATGATAGGTTAAAGGATAAATTTATGGCTGATGATATTTCAGCATTTGTGCCCTTTGTGGATCGTTTCTTGTTGATAACACTTTTGATATACACACGTGTTTCGAAACGTGGAGGAAAGCAGATGAAATTTTAATCGTATTTATATTTATATCCTAAGTTTCTAGTTATTACTTTCGAAGGTAAATAAAACAAACAAAAAAAAAAAATATTTAAATATCGGGTAATTGGAGACAGTGGAAGAGGTTAACCATAAATAAAAATGAGGTTAAAAATAAAATAAAAATTTCGTTGAAGTAATGAAAACAATTCAATGAGGATGGATCAGCTTTTATTCGATTATTTCTTTATGTGTGTATATGAACAGAGCTAGACTCTTTTTTTTCAAAATATTTCTGCAATAAGAAATGAACAATAACATAATTACGACAATTACGTTCGATCGAAATTACGAAAATATGGAATTCGATATTATATTATTTGTTCTGGACTAGTTTTAGACAATTAGACTCCATAGATCACGTATACGTTCTTCTTTTAAAATTCTGTCAAACGAGAGTTGATATTAAGGGATGAAGAAGAATACGAAAGCGTTAGGATGGATTAAGAATGAGGAATAAATATGTACGATACGTGACAAAGACGCATAGAATGCATTATTGCAGCGGAACAGCAAACGCCTGCGAAGCAACGAGGTATAATGGGTAAATACGAAAATGGAGAATGCGACAGAAACTTGGATATTCGAAGCGTCAACCGAAACCGATTGAAACTCTTTTGACTATACGACGCTCTTTCATTATTTCTTTCTTCTCGTGTAATTTCTCGTGTTTCCTTGATTTTTCGTATCTAATTTATTAGTCCAATATCATTCGAATATAATTTTAGGTTAAGTTGGATTATTTCCTTCTTCTTGTTTTTTGATATCCGATTAATGAATTGTACTAATTCGAATTTTTCTTTTTATTAAAGAAAATGTCAATCAAATTGACATTTTGACGGGATGTAATTGAAATTGTCATGAAATTTAATCGTTAGATTTTTAAATAAAAAGAACTTGACTTGTTTCAACTGATTAACGGATCTCGAAATTTCGAACGAGTTTAAAATGTAATCCTAACCTCAAAATGATGAAATGTTTGTTACACAGGTTTTCTCGAAGCTCTAGGGAAATCGCAAATTCCACGATGGTCTACTTTTCTTCGAGAATGAGAATATTTCCACGTCTCAAAACAGAGAGAGCAGAGAAACGACGTTTAGATCTATTTGCATTTGTACCGGCGAAACTTAAGGAATAAACGTCGCAACGACTACGAACGACATGGAAACGACAAAATAATGGCGGCCCTTCGATGTCGAGCATAATAATCAGCACGGTTGAGCGGATCCTCTGCCACCAATTTGCATGTATTCTCGGAGCTGACATCCTCGCTATTGTATGTAATTTGCGCGAAGAAAGCAAAGCATTTTATCGATAATTAAATCCAAGAGGACGTACGGACGATTCTTTTCTTAGGTCCCTGAATAACTGCCCCTCGACCTCGTGTATATATATATATATATAGAGTGATTAAGCTTTCCAAAGAATTGAAATTTTATTTCGATTGAATTATGAAGTAAAATAGAAATAATATTATTAATATAAATTACGCATTTATTAAATTACAATATGTATGTAATTTACCGTTTATATCTCACATTTTCCAAATGTCACATATTTACTTACAAAAGATTACGGTAAAAAAAAAAAATGGAATCACGTTGTGAGAAAATTATACTTGACGCGAATTAAATCTCGAATTAAAATAGCATTGATGGACATTCCTCTAGATAAGTATGTACGTATTCTTCATGTACAGTTACGATGTGAAAGATGGGTAAAATTAAAAGCAATTTATGATTCGTATCGTACATACACATTAAGAAAAAAAAAAGACCGCAGATAAGTAACAATACGAAACATGCGAAGAAATATGCTTATCGATTGCACAGGGCTTGAATTTATCGCGAGTAAACGTAACAATACCCTTTCACGTTATGAAAATTGTAATGGCGACGGTTTATTGGGTAACTCTCGGAACGAATGTAAGGCGAATTTACACAGTTAGCTTTGAGCAAATAACTGTCGATTCGACGAAATCGAAAGTAAAGCGAGCAATTTAAATCATTTTATGAAAATGAACAGAATAAAATTTGAACGAAAAATTATATAGAAATAAATTGGTATAATTTATATATTTTTGTTCGAATTTATTAAAATTAAATATAACATAAACGCGCACAAAAAGGGAAAATTCTTTTAAAGAAGAATATTTAAATAATAGAAAAAACTTTTGAGTACAAAATTAATAATTTATTAAACTAGATTAGAAAGATTAAGGAAAAAAATTGTGAAGAGAAAGAGCATCAATCAATTAGCAATTAAATTGCAATGCTTTTCCAAGTACTCGTCATAATAATTACTTTCATAGAGATGATCTGTAGAGTTTAAACTAATCGAGACTTTCAAAAAAATTTCTACTTTTCCTTGTTTTCTAATCTATTGAAATAATAATTTATATTTTATATCTTATTCTATGCGCAATTCTAAAACAGAAATATACAGTACTAAATACATAGGCCAAATATAACAGTTGATGCCGCCACTCGATCGTTCAATTTACGACTTCACTGTACCTATATCTAATACGCGTCTATTTGAACAGCAGTCTTCACGCGAACGCACTGTGATCGGTTTTATTACGAAGCGTGCATCTATAGCGAATACACATACACCGTATAATGCTTAAGAACATTAATCGTACCTCAATCGTTCGTCAACAATTACCTGCCACAAATGATAACCGTCATTTCAATCCAACTACTACTTACGAACCAATTTCTAAATAATCATTTCATCTCGTAGATCGAATATCTCTATTCTATTCGATCGAAAAGCGAGAAAATCCGCATGATTCGTCGAATCGCGCTCACACTCGACGTGGTCCGCAGAGCGAAGAGAAAATTGAGAAACACGGGTATATATACCCAGTGCGGGTCGTGAACGCGGGGTGGGGATTCGGTG